GGAAGGAGGCTCTGGCAAACCACTTCCGAAAAACAATTGCCTTGAAAACGGCAAGGACTTGCCCAAGCAGTCACTGCAGGGTCAGCAATGACTGAGCGCAGACCAAAAAAAAAATAATAATAATTTTCAAACCTTTTTTGAAAATAGTGGCCTCAGTTCTCTAAGGTGCTGGTCCCTTTGAAGCCCAAATACATTTAGGCCCAAAGGAAGGTATGAATCACCAACTTTCCTTGGTGGCCAGGGTCCCACTGAGAACTGAATATGCTCAGTAGGCCCTGCCCATTGGGGAGAAAAAATTAAGTGAATATTAGAGCATTTGGAACTGTATGTGCTCCTGTACTTTATACTGCAGCAATTTGTTGTACATTCTCCCCTCCCCTCCCCTCCTCCTCCTCCTCCTCCTCCTCCTCCTCTTCTCTTTTGAAACTGAATACAGTCCTAATGTTTTTTTGCTCCCCAATGCCAGGGTTTAATGTATCAAGATGCAACACGGTGGGGGTTGACACTACAGACTTACGTGCAGTTGACTATGTTGGAGCAGCATACAAGACCAATGGTATGTTTTGGAGCCGAGTGCTCCTGTTAACAGCAGAGTTTTCATTCTGGACTGGAAAAAGACTGTATGCAATTTGAATTTGCTCATCTCTCTCCCTTCTTGCCCCTTCCACTAAGAGAATTTAAGCTGTAAACCCTCGGGAGAGCCATGGCTTTGAAACACTTCTGCTCCTCTGTAGAAGACAGTGCACAGGCTTGCCTGTTTTCCCTTGAGGTCTGCATTCCAGTGGTGGGCAGAACCCAGATGGGCAGTGTTGACCAAGTGGGTCAAGATGCACTTCTGATCCTCTGGCTGCAAGTTCTCTACCCTGTTATAATCTAGTACCAGAATCCTAATATTAACATTAAGAGCCGGTGTGCCATAATAGTTAAGATCCTGGACAGGTAATGGGGAGACCCTAGTTCAAATCCAGTCTCTGCCATGGATGCTGAATGGGTGATTTTGGGTCAGTCCCCTTCATTTCATCCTACCTCCCTGGCTTGTTGATGTGGGGAAAAGTAGGAGGAGGGAGCATTATATAGTTTGAGTTCCTGAACAAGGGGTGGGATTGAAATCTAACAAAGTTGGTAGTTTCATAATGGCCTTGCTGAAGTTAAACAAACTTTAAGGTAATAAGTAAGAGGTATCCTTTTTCCACAAATAATCTGTAGTCCAGTGGATCTGAAGATGCTGCAGAACAACTAATTTCCCCCCTCCCCTTGAATAGCCAGCCATCTGGGTGTCCGTCTGTCCGTCCATCCATCCATCCATCCATCCATCCATCCATCCATCCATCCATCCTTCTAAATGGCTTTTGACATTTAATTTGCAGATTTCTCCTATAAGAATGATGGAGAGGTCAATTTACAGTGCAAAATACATTTTTGTGGAGAACTTATATCGCAGGTATAGTACAAAGCTTGCTTTTAAAAGAGTGGCTTCATTTTGAAGCGTTGCTTTTAGTTTGAATTTATATTTTGAAACATTGCTTTTAGTTCATTCTGTAATAGCTTGTTATCAGGAGCAGAGCCAAATTACCTGCAAATTGCCTGTTGCACACTGACTGACTAAAGTGCGCTGAGACAAATATATTGTGAGACAAACAATATATTTTCAGTTTCTCTTCCCATTATTTTTGCATTCTAAATAAAGGAATAAACATACAGCCAAACTAGACTTCTGTTCTGAAATATTGGAGGAAAAAGGAGACGCAGTTTGTTATTCCACAAGGTGGCATCTCTGCTACAGAGTCTCTTGAGCAAAGGTGCAGATGTGATTCTACAGAAATGTCCAAATTGCTGAAGAAACATGATGTAACGATTATTTTTCTGATTGCTAAATTTCTATATGTGTATGGCTTTGAAGAAATCAAGTTACTGGTTTTGGGCATGTGCATATTGGATATAACTTTGAAACCATGATAGTTGTTGGGTTGGGTGGGAAGCTATACACTCGTTTTATAAAATTAATCTAGTATTCATTAAATCTTGAATCTTGTTTTCTATTATTTAAAACTGCACTATAAATAAGCCACAGTTATATGCCATATACTCAGGTTAGCTATGGAGGAGAAGGCTAGTGAAAGCATATGACTTACCTGCATGGAATTTCATGTGCTCTCCTGCATGTGTAGTAACCAGGCAACACAGAGCTGATTCGTATGAATGTTGAAGTAGTTTCAGTACATGATTACTGAAAATAGATACATCAGATATATTAGATAAAAATATTTTGGCTTGATTGTCGTTGAGGTGGAAATATACCTAGGGAGGGGAAAATATATGCATTGATTCCCAAAGATAAGTAAGGTTGGACAGCCTTCAACTTGGATGGAAGACAAGTAGAAAATACCAGGATTGTTGGCTAGACTGGGAAGTCAAGAATATGCCCCAGAGGAAGAGAGGGTTGAATTGCTTCTTTGTGAAATATATGACAAGGATGTATCTATGAAGGCATCAGGAGTTGAGCTTGACTTAAGGGAGATGTTATCTGTCTTCTAAAGGTGGCAGAACATAGCAGAGGTTGGCTGACCTCAAAAAAAGCTGAGAAGGTTGTGCCTGGTTAGTACTTGGGGAAGAGAATTCCAGGATGGTGGCTAGACTGGGGAGCTAAAAAAAAAGAATATTAAGAGAAAGCAAACTACTTCCATATTGTTGCCAAGAAAACTGCATGGTTTGTGTGGAGTTGAAGAAATCCTTATCTGGCAGGATTGACATGGTGCCATGGGCACCCACCAAGCTCATGAGAGGTGCCTCTAACCTCCTATACAGTTAGTCATCACTGAAGATCACTTATTTAGTGACTGTTCAAAGTTACAAGGGTGCTAAATGACAGAGACTTACAACAGGTCCTTGTACTTATGGCCATTGCCGTGTCCCCATTGTCATGTGAGTGCGATTTGGGTGCACAGCAACTGGTTGCAGCATCCCACTGTTACATAATCGCCATTTGCAACCTTCACTGCCACCTTCTGACAAGCAAAGTCAATGGGGGAGCTGGCAGGAGATTGCAAATGGTGATTGTGTAACAGCGAGATGCTATCACTGTGTGGGATTCACCTAAGTGTGGCAACTGGGACTGCTGCAACTGCTGTCGTAAGTCAGCATGGTCATGTGACATCGCGCTTTATGACCACATTGCTTAGCGATGGAATTGCTGGTCCCGATTACGATCTTTAAGTAAGGACTACCCGTATGCACACGCAAATCACACTGACAAAGCCACAGACACACTGACAAAATCTCACGGTACCTTATCTGAGATTTTGACAATCAGGTGTGAAATCTTAGTGATTAGTTTTAGAGGGAGATTTTTGGCCAGTGTACATCTTGTGTGATGATGTAGAGAAAGATCACCAGTCACTGGATGATAGTATGAAGATGACTAACAGAACTGTTGACAATCTTTTTTATTTGCGATAATTCTCCTGTATTTGTTGTAGTGGGAAAATGCCAGAAGTAGATTATGTCATCCTGACTGAATGGTTTGACTGGATCCTCAAGAACATGAACGTGTCAGTTGATCTGATAGGTAACACCTCCACTGATTCTACGTGGGGCAGGAGGGAGGCTTCATGGCTTCTAATCTTTAGGGACAACTTTGGTAATTTGGGTCTTATGGATTAACAAAAGGTTCTCCAACAAGATACCCACCAGATAGTTTGGATTTCAATGTCCATAATTCTTTAATCACTATGAATAAAGGGAGTTGAACTTCAACATATATAGGGGAACTAGGTAAGAGAAAGCTGGACTAACAACATTGTTTGTAAAATCTGTGTTCTTTTTTTTTTTTAAATAAAGTAGATGCTTGTGTGTGTGTGTGTGGGGGGGATAGATTAACCCTTTAGCTCCAAATTCTTTTTTTCTTTTGATAGTTGAAAATCTAGAATAAGTTCACCTTTAGTCTCCATTGCATTAAGGGCTTCTTCCGGTAGTTTCCGTGTTCCGTGATTCCATAAATGTACTCTAAATTTTTAACTTGAGATATTTATCACTTTGGGATTTTTTTTTCCTGAGTAGTGAATAGATTCCTGTAGGTATAATTTTTGGAATTCATTCAGGGTTGAATCAACTCTGCTTCTGAGTTAAAATACTTCTGAAATGGTTGAAACAGCCTTGCATACTTAACAATTTAAAACTGTAATTTTTTAAATGCAGTTTATCTACAAACTTCTCCTGGCATGTGTTACCAGAGACTCAAGCGGAGGTGCAGGGAAGAGGAAAAGGTCATTCCCCTGGTAAGGAGGAGATCTTTCAACTCTTTGGAAGATTACAACTTGGCTGGTTGGAAGAAGAAAGGAAAGATTTCAGTCCCCAAACAAGAGGGTCACAGGCATCCACTGGGGGAGTGGGGGGCAAATGTTGACAGATGCATGATGATGTCATCACACAGATGATGCATCTTCAGTACTTCTGTCAGACATCATGATGTGAGAGTGGCATTTGTGCAGTGATACCCTGATCCACATGCCATTGTTTTAATGTCATTTTGGTCTGTTTTGGATGTGCTGAAGAAGATGCATTCTATGATTAGCAGAAAGCAGATTCTTTGCTAAAGTTGTCCCTGGGATTTTTGGGTGATGTTCCCTGCCTGTTGACAGCAAGTCATAGAACAGGAAGAGTCCTCTCCATGCTGGCTGGGGAATTCTGAGAGTTGAAGTCCACATATCTTAAAGTTGCTGAGATTGAGAAACGCTGCTTTAGATCATTGATTTGAATTCCCTGCTCAGTTAAAAGATCCCAGTTACGCCTCTGCCTGAAGAGGTGTTCAGTGTTCAGGAACTGATTGGAATGGGAAAACAGCTTGGCTATCTTGGATGAAAGAGGTCCTCTGGGAATACGGCCACCTCCCCTCCACCTGGTTGCCCTGTTGCAACTTACTACATCAGATATTTGGCTGTAATTGCGACTATTCTACATTTTGCATCTAGAGAACACAAATCATGATTAATCAAAGTACTTTTGGTTCTACTGAAAAAAAAAAAAGAAAACCAATCATCTCTCTTTCCCCTCCTGCTCCTCCTGCTCCTCCTGCTCCTCCTGCTCCTCCTGCTCCTCCTGCTCCTCCTGCTCCTCCTGCTCCTCCTGCTCCTCCTGCTCCTCCTGCTCCTCCTGCTCCTCCTGCTCCTCCTGCTCCTCCTGCTCCTCCTGCTCCTCCTGCTCCTCCTGCTCCTCCTGCTCCTCCTGCTCCTCCTGCTCCTCCTGCTCCTCCTGCTCCTCCTGCTCCTCCTGCTCTGGACAGGAATATTTAGAAGCTATTCATCAGCTTTATGAAGACTGGCTCATTAAACAAACATTGTTCAAAGTCCCTTCTCCTGTGCTTGTAAGTATATATTCATGATTATTTTAAAAGATAGTTTGGCCAAGGCAGGAAAAGGATATCTTCTATTATGTTTGTAGAAAAAACTCTTGCTCTCCATCTGGTCACATCCCAACATTGACTACCTTTGAGTGCTTCTTCGACTTATAATAAACTTTCCGCAAGAAAGGGAAACATTTTAATAGTATTGTTATAGACAGCCATTTGGATTTCAGCAACATGGTTCTTTCTAGCAAATATGAGGAGCTGCCAGTTTGGCATGGTGTTTTAAAAGGGGCTATCTGGAGAGCTTGATCATTTCTTGCTGTTAAAATGGCCAAACGGTTGATCCATGTTTGATATGCCTGGTTTGGCTTATTGTGATGGTTTGAGGGCAGGTCTTCCTGGCTGTCCTTTAGTTGAAGTCCAAACTAGCATGGTCTGTGCAGTCCTGGACCTCTCCCAGTTTACCCCTATTTCTTCCTCCTCTTGACTGGGTCTTTAGTATTCAGGTTCAAACTCCTGATGCTAAACTTCCAGGCTGTTCATGTAGAAACATCCCATTATTTGAATGTCCTGGACCTCTCCCAGTTTACCCCTATTTCTTCCTCCTCTTGACTGGGTCTTTAGTATTCAGGTTCAAACTCCTGATGCTAAACTTCCAGGCTGTTCATGTAGAAACATCCCATTATTTGAATAATTTGATTGCAGTTCATGAGTTTGTGCTAGGCTTGTTTGTGCAAGCGATCACCTCACATTTGAACCCTCTTCCATCTGGCTCAGTATTTCTCAACCTTGGCCAACTCTATAAAACTGGAGCTTCCTCACCCCCAAACCCCCCCCCCCCCCCCCC